TGATATTTCGATAATGTTAAAAGGGTGAGTAGAATTCAAAGTTTCAGAAATTATGTGCAATATGAGTCAGGCTAATAATTGGGGAACAAACGAATTGTCATTAGTGTCAGTGAAAAGTTTGTGCGTTGTGGAACAGATCGAATTATATTTATATTTCACGAGTTAACACACACACATCGATAACTGTTTTGTTTTAGAAATATTTCGAGCGAAATTACTGCCGGTGATAACACCAACTGTTGGATTGTTTTTAATTCGCACATTTACGATTTGTAATCATATGTATATATGTACGGCGTTACCTTAATCAAAATAGATTCTGTTTTTGGTCATTCTTATATGAAAGTTATTTACAACAAGCAAAGAAATTATTGAAGTAAAAGAAAATTTGAAAGGAGCAATTCAGAAAGAAAAGTATGAAAGAATACTAGAAGTTGCGCTGAAACTAAAAGAAACTGCCTATTAAAAAATGGATCAACTCATGATCACGAAAAACAAGTAACCAAGGCCAATTGAGTTGCAAACAAGTCAGACAGAAAGCTAAGAGAAGCAGAGGAAAGCGTACTCATGATAGGGATGAACTTCCTTATTATAAGTAACAAAAGATTCAAACCTGTAGATGTTATACCGGTGATTGAAATGACTCGTAAATTACATGTCTTCAAGGATGAGTTACTGCCTCACATTCAACATGCTGTACACCACTGGTCACGGCTTCCTATGTTGAAAGTGAGGCAGTAACTCATCGAAGAAGAGATTGCGAAGTGGTTGCATTATTTCGTGAATTGGCAGAAGTTAGAATTTATTCACGTACATACATTCGGTTGAATAATACAGAGAAAATCTTCGAATGATAATTTACTTTTAAAAGCGAATGGGAAACACCATTTAGAATATTGGTCACTTCAAAGTAGCAACATTTCAAATGGATCCTTATCCACGGTGATTTTACTCTGAAAGTCGGGTGGAGATGTAAGTTATCACCAAACAAAATTGCCTTCTTTTAGTTTCTGCCTACTTGACATGTGGGAGCAGAGGTGGGTGATTACAACATGCACTTCACAGGTAGTTAGTTTTGTGTGAATTCGTAATATGAGTTTCAAGGAATACTGTAGTCATATCAAATGTTCCGTATGACTGCTTCAAAGCTGTTTTATCGATTTTCTATGCACCTACAAATATCCGTTGTAACGTTTGTTATACTGTGCAACTACTTTTATCCTTATCCTTGAAAGTCTGCATCACTTAATCGGAAAAAACAACAACACAAAATTCAGGTAATACTATTTACCTAAATCAAGGTTGTGCAGGAGTTAATCTATACTGAGGACGGTTTCTTTCGTTGGCCAAATGGTACTGTCTCTGCAAACGAAGAAACCATCTCATAAAAACCAATCGCATTGATAAGATTAGGTAGACTATAGTTACAAATATTTGCCTAAATTATATTACAAAAAGTGTGAGCAGTTTAATGTATGTACCATTTTCGTTTTCAGAAGTGAACAATAACACATAGCAGATAGCCTCCATATTATTAGCTGTTATCTCTCTTAGAGACAGAAAAATATTTCCACTCAATGCAAAGTCATGGATATATATGTATATATAGAAATGAGAAGGTGTTATTTACAAGAGAAAAAATATTGTACTAAAAAGATTAGAAAAAGAAATTAACAAATTTTCTATAGTTTCGTTTGTAAGGATTAATTATGGTTTAACGAGTTGATCACGGATTGATTTAGCGCGAGGATGGATGTCTCACCAACGACATTGGTCGGGGTCGCGCTAAATCACGAATTGGTACAAGTTAGAATTCATGAGCCATTGAATCGGGTCCCAGTGACTGAATGATATACGAGCTAGCCTTGTAACCGGAAGGTCCTGGGTTCGAATCACAGTGGGTGGGTGCGTACTGCCGACGATTCCCAAACTAGGATGAAACAACTGTCCAGTACTCCCTGGTTTTCTATGCTTCTTTAACTGATATCAGTACGTGATCTACTCGTAAAAATTAACAAATGTTTGAAATATCTTCTTTTATCACATCCACTAAAGACTAAGCTGTGGAGGAGGATATTTTCACATGCACTGCAGTAATCGGGTCCCAGTTGCTTGATGGTCTACGAGTCACCTTGTAACCAACGGAAGGTCCTGGGTACCAACCCCGTGGGTGGGTGGGTACTGTCGAAGCGTCCAAAACTAGGAGGAAACAGCTGTCCACTACATCCAATGATCTAGTGGATAACGCTCCGGCGTTTGAAACCATGGGCACTCCGTTCGAGCCTCGATGGGAACACCATCAATTACTGGGGAATGCAGGTACATCTGGACGACAAGCTCAAAAAAGAAGGACGGAACGCTCATTCTCAATTCTACTGTTAGTCATTATTTACGGACTGACTTTAATTTATATGAGCAGCCATCTTCGAAGTATCTGCAGATGAAGGGAACATTCCCATGAGAGACGGAGGCGTTTTGTCGAAGCAATCGATGGAAGTCTTAATTTGAAAAGTCGTAATAACTTAACGGGTTGTTGTTTGATTTGTAGCTCTGTGATTTCATGCCTGCGTTCAAGTAAAGAGTAACCGACGGTCAATACTAAGATTGACTTTCACATGACAACTAGTGTGGACGATAGCCCATTCGCAAATATACTCAGACGACAATTTGTGGTGAATGGTAGACTATCTGGTTTTGTACTTAAGATGCCAAGTAACAGAGGTTGGTGATTGCTGATGACACAGTTCAAGACGATTTAAAATAGTGAGGATGTATGCACTTATTGTTGTTTGCTGTACTACTTTTTAAATTGTTGTGATTTGTACTTATATGCATCTGAGGAAAGTTCTACGTTGAACAGAAGAACACAAACTGCTTTTTCAAAAAGGAAGATTTTTATTTCTAAAAGAATAAAATGACGTGAAGCGAAAACGTTTAAATTAGTGTCATTCATTTTGTGATAAAGAAAAATAGAGTTAACTAAGAGTGAAAATGTCTTTCTAAAACAAAACTTCAATGTTTTTCACAAGCAGGGGACACAAACAGGAGCACAACAACACTTTACTCGAATTTTTAAAACTGTCAACATGATAACAGGCGAGAAATATGTGAAATATAGATGAAGAAAATGAAATAAACGCATTTAAAACTCATTATTCGAAAAGTTTACTCAACTCATTATAATTACAATTAGATATTGAAATTTGATAAACTTCATTGATCGACCTCATATACTATACAGAAAGAAAAGAAAGAGAACAAAATGAGTTAACAATAAATTTTATTTACGAATACACAAGTGCTATAGGATAAATTTTTCTAGACACAACAGTTGTTCAGTGGTTGGAGGATATCGACAGACAGTCTGTCTGCGACCTAGATTGTTTTCTCGTTGGCACTCGTCAACAACATGCATGCATCTGCTTTCTTCAAGGAATTCATCTCTCTACTAAGATTCAAACCAACTCCGCTCATCGCTGTATTCAGAGACGCTACCACTGAACCATTAGGTCTCGTGATTGGTCTCCTGTAGGACAGTAATGTATACTTTGATTGGACACTAGGTAGTAACCAATATCATCTGTCTAGACCTCAGTTTGCTGTAGACTGAACTCTATCAATCAAGTTTGCTCAGTGGTAATGTCTCCGACTGCAGCACTGAGCGATCTGGGTTCGAGTACCAGAAGGGACATGACTTCTTCAAAGATTGCCGATGTCTCACCAACAAGCACGAAACCACCCAAGTGTCCAAGGCTTCCTGCTGATTGCCCCTAACCATCCAACAACAATTCGAAGTGCACCGTGACGTTGACCCATAATGTCCACATTACAAACTTGACTGACTGGTAAAGTTCAGTTGGTACCAAACGAATAATTAGACGCATGCACTAGTTGCTGCCTAGTGTCTAACTAAAAGACACAAAAGTCTCACAGAAAGGCTATGATATAAAATCATTCACTACTGGTGATTTACATTTAGAAACCAAGTGTGTTTATTTTTGTTCAAGAACAAACAAACTTAGTATCATATGAACAGAAAGGTAACATTTAATGTAAGGGAATACAATTTTCCTGTGGAATCTACAAATGAATAAAATTGTGTTTAATGCAGCATGGAGACGAAAACCGTTTCACTTTTCCTCCTTCTTAGCTTTCTTTACTACTGATTCATTTCTCTCTCCCGTTTCAAGTACTTTTGTTACACCATATAAAAATCATCTCACCTTCAATTTCCTACGACTGATCTGCACTTCTATGCATAATATTCCATATTCATTTTTCTATCATTTATACCAAGATCAACAAACTTAAGATAACACAAACTCATAGGAACAAACAGATATTGCAGATACTTATCTCATTTAATTGCTTATCATCATGTACTGCATGAGTCTTTAACATTCATTCCTTATCCCTAACAACTCTTTACAACCTCCACTGAGATAATTTCCATCTGCTTGACCCACTTCAATTCACCTTCAGATTATCGTGAAAATATTGAAGGTGAAGCAATAAGATAAATATGGTAAGTGTACCTACCTCCTTCTACATTAGCAGCTCAACTGGTAATTGTAAATAGAAGGAAGATTACGCAATTTGACTAGTGTATAAGCAGAATAATAACACTACTATATTCAATATTAGTTTATGGGAGTGCTGTGCTACGATCTCACTAACAGTCTTTAGGTAGGTGGCACAGCGGTTAACACTCTCGCCGCGGTTTCATCCTCGACGGACGTACACCTCGTATCAATAGTCGACCTGCAATATTTCGGCTACCGATATCACATGCTGTAAATTCCATACTTCTACCAAAACTACGGTGTCGAATCAAGCTATAATGAAAAGTTAACAATTAAATTAACAATTTATCAGTTGATTTTCTCACTTGACAAATTTATTTTCTTATTTGAAGAATACTTCTGGATATCGAGATCCTTACTGGTTACTACTTTATGGATGATCTTAATCTTCTCACCCCACCACTAAGTATCCTCCTACCAGGTCACACTTTATTTAGGCGTATTAATAACTTTCCACATTTAATTTATCTCATGTAATCAGAGTTAAATATTGAGACAACCGACACAGCTAATTATTCATTCTTCACATTTTTCTTGTTGATATTTTCACACAACATGGACATGGGGTTATTATCTGATAACAACACAGATATAGTCATAATCAAAACTGAAAATAAGAAACATTAAACAATTAAAATGAAAAGAAAAACTTACACATGTAAAAATTTCTAGTTCTTCTTTATACAGCATTCTCAGAAAGACAGGGTGAGCAAAATCTTCATTGAAAGACTCATTCGAATTTTCTAGTTCTCTTAACGTCTACAATATTTGAAATGATCACAATGATTAAGAATTTCATTAATCGATGTGTCTCAAATAGTCTAGTCGTCAGAAAGAATTTAGTCGGACACAGCAACCTTGGAAGATATACGCGGCATATTTCCAGATTTTAGCTGAGACAAGCTTACACATATCTATGCTAAAAATCACTTTAGCTTGACTGATTCCTTTACTCAGATTTTGCATTTCTTAATTCTACAATCAATCGTAAGTCGAATTAATTCGATTTTCGCGTGTATCTTCAAAGTATACAGACAGTGTTGCGCCGCGATTCTATGCTAAGAAAATGTTACCGTCAAACAACAGGAACTACATTGTAATGTTAACACTATAATAGACGGGAGTAATTTTCGCCTAACAATTCCCCTCTGAAGACTATATCAGGTAGCTCGATGCATACATGATACCTCGCAAATACTGAAGCGTTTATCTGTTTTAGAAAAAAACTATATTCCCTGCCTGTCTCAGTGTAATTTAGTGTGCTTCGATTTCTTTTCTTTCTTTGAGCTGTCAAGTTTCAGTAATGATGTTGTTTTCACTGCCTGAGTTTACTGGCCTCACACCTAACTTTACATCTTTTTCGGTCTTACTACCTGCTATGCAAAATCTGAGCGTCAGTCGGCTAGTAGTCAAACCAGAACCTCATGCGTAGCCTGAGTGCATTTATTTCACCATTGAACAACGAACACCGGTAATTCTGCCAGGAAAAGAAAGCAAGAGAAAACATGCTGAATAATTCTTCAACCAGTTCCTAAAGTTTTCGATTTAAATATGGACTGTTTATTATTCGGTGATTTATTACACAGAATCCTGTATCTGTATCCAGGATATTTCAAAAATAATCGAAATAAATTTAGAACTATTGCATGAGAGAAAAAGAAAAACTCTAGGTGGATATATTAAGTGAACCGGCTCTGTGCATGCAATGAATCGCATTCGATACAGTCAGTAGCACACACGCAAACACACACACATACGCTTCCTTATACCACCAAAGTAGGCAATTAACCACCGAATCAACCGAAACTCATCAGAAGAAACAGAAACTGTCAACTAGAAAATAAGCAACACCGTGGCAATAACTAAATCGCTTGAAGGCGGCAACTGAACTCAACGACTTACCGAATACGCTTGAAAAATCAAAAAGCAAAGAGAATGAGAAAACAAATGTAGAACTCACACAGCTTTATACTAAACTGTTTTAACACACACAAGTCTGTAAACTATCATGTAGTACATTTTCCATTATTTATTTGCCTTAGAAAATACACAAATGCATATTCATCAACACGAATTAATCGAAAGTAAAATCAGCCACATTAAACATAAAAGTAAATAAAAACTTGAAAGTGCATCATCTAGGATTAAAGAAGTTAACAATCGGGTACTGATAAACACACTTTAGTGTGAACTAAGCTTTTGAGAAAGAAATATATTCAACTCTAAGCGTTTATCATCACTTGAATAAATGAACCAGTGTAGACAGTAGTCATTTTACAATCTATTTAGTTACAAAAATGATGTCCACATTAAACTTGAAATGGGGAAATAAATAGTAGGATTTTAAGAGAAAGACTACATTTTGCCATTCGTAAAACTTACTATGCAGTTCAGCTTATAGTTATCGATAACTTCGAAAACACTCAACTTGTAACTACATCACATCACAATTTACATGTGTCCACCATCACATACACACACACACGTACACATATAGCGAGGAGTAATGAATAGGTGAACACATACCGAAATGGCTTGATAAATAAGTGAATTATGAAACCTCTATGAACGCAGATGGCAGACCACCAAATTCACATTTCCAGTAAACACCTAGTTACAGTCAACTTTTCTTACGACCAGCTAGCGAACTAGGCTGAAGCCCAGTGTTACACACGGAACACAATGCAATAATAATAATAATAATATAGGAACTTGATTTATATGAACCACAAGATTGATATCAAAACAGCGGCGCATACTGAAATACCATGACGTGATGAGTATCCGTAAAAGCAAGCCTCTTTTCAGCGTGTAAAAATACAATTTGATATTATTTATACTTATGTATGTATCTTTTGACTTATTACATTCAACCAACTCTGGTAATTTTCACCCGATTATACTACCAAGGGCCGTGGTAGTAATTAATATCCTCCCATATTCATCATTTTATCTATTAATTTGACATTCCGCTTTTGTCATAGCAACTGATTTAACAACTAAGTGTGATCATTTTGTCCAAAACATATTTCACAAATACATCACATTTTTCAGATAAACTCTGTCTTCCAATAACGTTAACGGGACTAACCGTTTTTCCAACTGTTGAACCAGGAAGAGTAAAAATCATTCGTATATGCAAAATATACAACAGTTCAACAAGACCGTAAAATGTACTATATACAGTTTGTAAACAACCCTACAGTCATGAATGTCATTAAATATAAAAAAGACAGTATTGCATAATCACAGGTGCAAGTGTCCAGGATCCAGAAACAGTGGAACAGTATGGAAATAGAAAAGTCCTTTCAACCTTAGTAAACTTGACAGGTAAACGAAATAATCCTCAAGGCAAGATTAAAGTTACACCAACGGATCTGTCTTTCCTCATTAAACAAAACAAACGCAATAAACAGTAAAAAGTCGCAATCGCTATATACAATTACATGATATTGACAAGCAGTTGACACAACCACTAAAAAGACTCACATTACGCTCAGTAGATACGTTCAACTCCTTCAATGGAATACGCTTTCTTATTCTGGGTGAAGCTTTAGATGACGACTGTGAGCTACTCGGGGATTTACCAGAATCTGAAATCTTAAGCGACTTGCTTGCATTAGATGCTCGAAGACGCTTAGCTATTGGCTTAAAAGTTGTAGAAAGAGTAACAGGAAAAAAAAGAGAATTATTATTGCAACAACAGAAGGCAAGACACAAAAGCCGAGGTTTCTTTTTCATTAATCATCAAACCACTGTTTATATTCCTTAACCAATCACTGAGCCAGCGTGTGATTTCGGTTTACATGACATTGAACGACATGAAATAGAATGTTCAAATAGAGATATATTGTATTCTGTTGCTAACGCATTAGTGAACTGTGGGAATGTGAGAATAATAATATTCCATTGGCACACATTGTCTGAATCACACCAACACACTATGATTACAATTATAGAAAGGGGAAAAGCGTAGGGTAAATAACGTGTGAAAGTCACTGTCACACAATTAATCATTCATTGTATGTTGTTATAATCGTCGTAGTGAATGTGAAAATATCAGGAGGAGGGAGATTAAGGCGAACTTGACCATTTTTGACGAACAACTTAGAAGGTAAGAAAGACTTTCGATCAACAGTCAGAAAGCTAATTAACAACACCACACACAGTTGAACTTAGAGGGGAAAATGAAAGGAACTGTGGCCGGCCGAATTGTTGGCGAAAATTGTATCCTTATTAAATAGCAAGTATTCACATTCTTATTTTATCTTCGTGTAAAAGAACCATGAAGGCAAGAAATCTTTTTTTTTCAATCTTCCAAATAAATACTTTCCACCGTTATTTTTAAATCTCTTCAAAAACAAAATACCTAACCTAGAGGAATACAAATAAGCATTTCGGTTCACTATTATTATTATTTCATTTTTATAAAGTTTATCAGATAAACTAACTGTTGGCGAATATTGGCAAAGTTCACTTTCAAACACTGCAATTTCTGATTTTCTCTGCTTAATACAACACCACCAATTTCCTAAACATCGAATCAAGAAATGCTGAATAACAATTTTCACACCAGCTATGATAAATGTGAAGCCAGTGGGAGAGAATTTTCTGCCGTAATCGCGGTCATCCTAGATATTTCCAGGTTTTTCTTCGAAGGGACAATATCTGTTCTATCGGTGTACAACACATGGTCTTTGACATCGTTTTCAGCATATAATGAAAAGTAATATATTATTATTATTTCAACTCTATCATAATTATAAATGAGAGCGACCTTCAAATTAGGTCGTATTCACCACTAGTCTACTGTAAATAATCCAACTAACAGGCTAATATCCTACAGACTTTGAAATACACCATAGTATTTTACAACGATAGGTTAACGGGTGACTTGGATGACCTCTCTCTTTCTCTTTTCAATGCGTCAAAACACTCAGACTATAAATGATGTTAGAATTAGAGTACAGTAGCATTTAAAACTATATGTCAGTGTTTATGCACCCAACTTTGTGTGTCAAGATACCACACAAGTGATACAAGTGGTAATAATACAATGAATGTATAAGAGGAAGTAGTGATACCACTACTCAGTATAAAATAGTACACCATCCTTGTTTCTCACGTCTCGTATGATTTATCTTGTCATGCAGTTACTATGTGAATGTATCATTTCTCACACATATTGTCATCTAGCATGTGATCAATTCATCGTCTTTAGTCTCACCTTGATCTTTGTCCGATCACCAACCAATGAGAATAGCCATTTCCAGACAATAAGAACAGTTCATTCTCACGGTTTTAGGCCGACTGTATTGTCATAAATTAAATATACAAATATTATGTTTTGTTTCCTAATAAATGTATATAATTAATACACTATCTTACAGTCACAGGCCACTCTTTGTCTTTTGATATTTGCATGGCTGGCTCAGTGAATCGGAAAGTACAAAGGACAAATATGCGTACGTATTAGAGTGTCAGTTGAGTTCATTACCGTTATAGTAATTAACAGGCGCAGACATCACAAAGTAGCAACGGATCTATTCAATTCAGTTCAGTTATAACAAAACGTCGACGGGTCAGTTCAGCCTAAACTTATAAGCTAACAGGGAAGGGGAGCAAGTTATTATGATTTTATGTCATTAACAGGTTATCATTTATAAATATAGAAAATATATAGCACGAAATCCCAGATAAATATGGCACATCATCAAGCACAATGGGAATTCAGACAGACAATAGCTGCAGGATCGACAGTTTCGCATGAATCAAGACTACCAGTAGCTGACAGCAGTGTGGTCTACTCTGAATCCAGGTTCAAGTGGTAGAGGGAAGAAACCAAGTAGGACTACGGAAGTAGTTGTGCCAGCTAGAACTTGGTTGTGATCTGCGCGAAGCTGCAGATCATGGTCTCCGCTGTCTGCTCACTTAAGATGATGCACTGCCGCCCATAGAGCACCTAGACGACTTTACTCTGAGTGCAGACGCCCGATTTATGTATTCAATTCACCAGCTAGCGAAGCGACTTCTACTCAACATGGATGATTGAGAAGGACGGAACGCTTATCCTTAATTCCACTGCTAGTCAGTCACCATCGAATAATTAACCTGTTAAGTTGTTAAAAAGGATGATTACATGAAGTTGCAGTATCTGATATAGTAAGTTAACATTGCTGCTGTACACCGAATAGCTCTGATGTCAGGTAACAACTTAGAATTAATGTGTTATGCATGGTGAGTTTGGATAATATCATATGGTTTGACAGGTATACTCGCTCGCAGATGCATAAAACATACCTGATGGTCTTCGCCTGAGGAGTCGTCTTCTGAGAATGCTTTTGTAATCCGACGAAATTTTCTTTTCACTCCTTGTACAAACTAAAAACCCAAATAATAAAGAAATATTTGGCGACTGGCAATAAATAAACGACTACGAGTAATACTTGACACGATTGTATGCACTTAAAATACTGCAGAAACAGATAACGAAGCAAAATAACACAAAAGATTCACTCAAAAGTAGTGCTGTTGATATACTGACACGTTTGTCAAACAATTCAATATCAAACACACACAATGAACATTATCATTATTTCTTATCCAATGTTCTATGTTGTTGTATATTATTACAACAGCATTCTAAATAATTCTTTTCTTCTTCTGGGATGTTTTGAAATTTTTAAACTCTCAAAAAAAATCCCTCATTCATAATCAAATTTCACCCCTATTTATTAAAACAAATTGAGAATTCCATGAACAGTATATATATGTGAAATACAACATTGTTATTAAAATATACCTCTTAAAAAATAAAATATTATATCACAGCATTACAGGGAATTATATGAGACGTTTTTACAGACAGTGTACACAATTAAACACTACTAATATTGAAGTGAAGTGCATATTATATACATTAAATATATTTTTATTAGAAATAGTATGATAAGAACAACCTACGAACCTTTGCCACAGAATTACACACGGTATTGACAACAGACACCGAGTCATTGGCTGTTGATGTCACTTCATTATTCATTTCAAAACAATTACTTGCTGCAAGAAAAATTTAAAAATAAAATAAATTCATATATATATATATATATATATATATATATATATATATATAATGATTAAACACTCAATGTTACAGTAATTACATTAAATTGAAAGGTCAAATTACCTGCAACATTCTCATCTTCTATGACAGAATGATAATGTGCAGCATCTGTGCTATCATCAGAAGCACATTTTACTTCAGGCAAGTCAGTTAATAGTTCGAGGAGAGAACCATCCACCTAAACCAGTGATGAATAAACAAGATGTTGTATAAGCGAACAGTATTTCCTTCCGATTACATCTCAATCAAGTTTCACTTTATTTGCATACAAAATTGGCTGCATCAAAATATGCGACACACAAAAATACTAAAACACAATGCATAGGAGAGAAGTAGCATGATTGAAAAACGGCAACAAGGAAACAAACAAGCACACCTATCGAGACGGTGTCACTTTCGTAAAGAGGAAATGAAGAAATTGCAGTATAGTCGGTATTGACTGCGGTTCCCAGCCATATCCCATAACGCCTCGAACCAGCGATTCGAATTATCTCTTGAATCGCTAACCCGGGAGTTGTGATGCGCCAACACATGCTGACGTAAAACAAGCATCCTTCATCCCACGTATTGTCATGGACTCACCACCCCTCCGCTTGTGTTACACAATCCTAGAAAAAGCGAGCAGTGACTATTCTCGAGCTACTAAGATGTCAGTCATAGCACATGTCACCAAAGGACAATCTCTCAAGATGACAACTCTTAATGAACAACAGTCTCCACACCACTGGAAGCCAGAATTACTAACATGGTGATGCGACCGGATGTAGTCAGTTCTGCAGAGGCAGTGATATTCGAGCAAGCACAGTCCTCGCACATCCTCAGCTTGTAGAGGCCGACCAGGTTTCACAGAAATAAAGCGGAATAGGAGCGTCGAAGCATTGTAAACCTTACCTTTGACGACCAGACTAACTTTGTGACGCTCAGGTTAGTGTATACACCAGCTACAGATCTCATCTGTCACACCTCTACCAACAGCAGAAACGTATTAACCACTTTCAACGTTTAAACTGCAGATCGTCTAAACACCCTGAAATTATTTCAAGTTATTTTGAAATTTGAACAATTACTGTTGTGAGTCAGTGGCACAGCGGTAGAATGTTCGCCAACCACTCAGCTGGTTCGGGGTTCGATCCCCGGCGAAGCACTCTTTTACCTTACCAAACCAGTAATAAGACTGCTAAAGAGGAAAGGTTAAGCATGAGACTAGCAACCCTATCCCGTGAATATAAATACCAATGCTACCAAAACTTCAAGCCTCCACTTTCAAGGCCTATGTTCTACTGGGAGCATAAAGGAATTAAAAAAAGAGAAAATTGTTCTAAGAATGACACTGCTCACCTAATTACTACTAATAATAATATTATTTAAAATTTGGGTCATCAAAGCAAGGGGAAATATTGGCAAAGCAGCGAATAATTCAAACTAACCTGCATGTCTGACTCTGTGGGTTTCTCTAATACAACAACTGGCTCCGTCAATGAACAAGTGGTGTCACCACCACTGCATTCTAAAAATAAAACATATACATTCGACTGTAAGATTCCAGGAGTTTTTGATCGAAATAAAAACGACATTTGAAATACATACTTTATAGAAATCTAGGAGATGCAACTAAATTTATTTAAATTATGACTTATTCGAAAGGCGCAGATTCTTAATATACATGACCATGGGCAACAAACTTGTGAAGGCTTATGTTAACCTACTTTAAAATAGGAGCAAAATTTACTTCATTGTGAAAACAAAAAGTGTGCTGTGTAAAGAAGTGTTCATACAACTGTTGGAACTACGAAAGTGGGTATGCACACAAAATTAGCAGATTGTACAAGAAAGAATTTTCCACTTAAGAAGATTATTGATATTGATTCCTTCAGTTTCTGGAAGAACATAGGGCTTCAGCTGGACATCTCAATTGCGTTCGGTTCTCTGCCAATGTTTTCACGCGGATCCACGTCTACCCACATGCTTTCATCTCCCCTTCGCACGACCTCCTCCATGTTACTCTCGCACTGACGACCAATTCACCGCTTTCCATTCGGGTTCCACTCAAGCGATGGCCTGGAGTGTGAGGTCACTCACTTCATGGTTTCCTCACAGTGTCGCCAATCAATCTCCACTTCTTCCTGCATATTTGCTGAGCATTCAGTTCCTGCTTGATTCGTCCCCAGAGATCCATGTTGCTGATCTTCTATGGATGGCATGGCCATCTGATCTTGAGCGAAGACAGCTGTTCATGAAGGTCTGTAGTTTCTTCGAAGTGCCCGTCGTGATACGGCGCCAAATCTCTGATCCGTAGAAGAGCACTGACTGCACATTGGAGTTGAGAATCCCTACCTTATTTTTCATGCTAAGTGCTGTTCATCTACACACAGACATCAGAGTAATCAGAGCTTGCCTTGCTTTCCCGATCCTCGCTTTCATATCCTCGTCAGTTCCATCCACCTGCAGTTGAAACCATGCTTCCCAGGTAGGTGGGTAGGTAAAGGAGCTTGCTTCTTTCACATTCCTCTCATTTAGGCTGATTGTTATCTGTTGCTGTTGATGTTGTTGTTGACCAGGAATCTTCATCACCTCTGTCTTCTCAGTGTTCATCTGAAGGCCTAGCTTCTCTGGATGCTTCTTCTCGCAACTAGTTGCTTTCCACTTGCATATCTTCCAGTTCGTGGGAAATCAGACATATATCATCGGCGAAGTCCAGATCCTCCAAGTTTTCTGTGTAGGTCCATTTATGCCTGTCTCCTCGTTGCCCACCGTTGTTGGTCGCATTATCAAGTCTACCACAATCAGGAAAATCATTGCAGATAGTAGGCATCCAGCCAGCCAGCCAGCCTTGTCTTACTCCCGCCTTCACTTCCAAGGATTCCGTCAGTTTCCCGTTGTGGATTACTCGACATGCAGCATTATCCTACAACCGTTGGATGAGGTGTATAATTGTCAACGACACCCCGTAGTAGCGAAGTAGTTGCCAAATCACCTCTCGATCGACACTGTCTGCTGAAGGCCTTCACAAAGTCGATGAAGTTGGGGTGAAGAGCTATTGAATATAGTTTCCTTTCTTCGGCAGTTCCAATAGGTAGCCTTTCTTCCAATCCGCAGCTACCTTGCCCTCTTTCCACTTCGTCTTCAGTAGTCGTGTCACCAAGTTCGCTGATGTCTCTCAGGCCATTTTCAATACTTCTATGGGGATCGCGTCTGGTCCCGCAGCTTTTCCAGATTTTACTACTTTTATGACCTTCAGGATTTCCGCTTTCCTCGGACAGTTGGTAGTTCTACTTCCGCTGTTCGTAATATTGGGCACCTTGTAGGTGACGGTCGATCAAGAAGTCTTTTGATGTGTTTAGTCCAGTGTTTTCTATGCTCCACCTCTTTGGTGATTGACTTTCCATTGTCATCTTTCACTGGCTTAATTTGTGTTGATCTCTCCCCCGATAGAAACCCAGTTGTTTGGTAGAGTGTTGCGAGGTCTCCCTTGCCTGCAGCTTGTTCCGCTTCACTTGCCGTAGCCGCATAATATTTACTTTTGTCTTCCCTGGCACTCTTCTTTACTCTTTTCTTCAGTGTATTGTAGCTTGCATTCAACTCCTGTTTTTGTTGCTCGTCGACGCAACAACTGCGCAATCTTTTGTTTCACCATCCTTCTCTCTTCTACTAGTCGCCACGTGGCTGTGGTGAGCCACTCTTTGTCCTATCTCTTCTTTCTGCCTAGAACTTCCAGCCAGGTTTGGTTCCACACCGATTTCAGCTTGTTCCAGTGTTTTTCAACGCTGGTCTCTTTGCTAGTGCTGATTTGTGTCTCTGCCTTTTCCCCTATGATTGCAGTGAAGATGTCCTTTGTGGTCTGATCATTCAGCTTGTGAGTATTGAACTTGGCTTGTGGTCTATCTGAACCTCATGTTTCTTTGAAAGTTTCTAATGTGATTTGGAGTGTTCCTTGTACGAGATAGTGATCAAAGGCAACGTCTTCGCCTCTTCTTAATTTGTTTACAGGGTGAGGCTGCTAGCCTCACGCCTGACAAGGTGGTGCTTACATGTATATGTAGTTTCGCGGAGGAGCGACTTCATGGGTTGCTCCCCTTAGAATCAGGAAAAAAAGTAAGCAGAACAACACCAGCGAAAGGAGAAAAATCACAACAGGAAGGGAGCAACGACAACACCAACAAAAGAAAACCGTGACAATAGTATCACTGTCAAGAACAGTTAATAAAAATTGTAACACAACCATACACTCACTGACTTAGGTATGTATATTCAACAAAATATACAATTATTGATATTAGCTAAAGTTCAACAGTCACAATATACAAAACAGTTAGTTATACGTATTGTAAAAACTGAATTTCACTCGACCAAGCAGCAACACAATAAATGACTAAAACTAATGCAGCTCAGTTATCAAACGTAGATTTTCAGTGTGAAAGAATGTGAATCACACTACATGATGAATAGGGTTTCTAATAACAATAACAGGCGATACTCCACTCCATAGTGAGGTAGGTAAACCAGGGTATTTTAACTCCCGGTTTAGTTTTGTTATCTTTCACAATAGCACAGATGTATAGTAAATCATAAATATAAGATGGATAACAAAGTAATAAAGAACACACTGATGAGCAGAGTATACAGCGTAACAAGATGCTCAATTATCACAGAATGCTGCTGCAATAAACTAAATGGAAACGTGTTACTGTGTCTGATATTCGATTGTACTGAAAGGCGTCAACACATATACATATCTTTAATTCCTACGGATTCATTTGAAAACAAGAATGAAGACTGAATACTGGGAGATTCAATTAGACATTGTGCTTTGGCTGTAGAGAAAATTATTGGCGCTTTTTTTATCTACGGGAACTGGGTTCCCATGTTTCTCGGTAAGTGGATAATGCGATATATGGGATAATATTCACACAGGACGCAAGCATTGGGAAAGCATAACAAAATATATATATATATATATATATATATATATATATATATATATATATATAATATGGCTGTAGCATTTCAACCAGCACTTCATTTCAAGATGGAATTCCGCTTTAGAAGATGAGAAAAATGGACAAAATAAGGTGATAAATAATCGAGTAAAACTCTTTAAACATGAATGTAGTTAACAAAGAGAAATGGCACTTACTAAAGCCCACTGAATCGTAATTACCGCACATGTATAGTCTGGGAGAAACACATAAACCTAACATCGCTATTCGTTCGATAATGTCAGTGTGCAGATCTCGGACCCACAAATTTGCAAAGTGGCTAGTCGCAATATTAGAGCCTCTTAGAAGCTTCTGTAAGTTTCCATTTAGAGATACTTATGAGTTAAGTGTCTTCATGACGTTGATATACATGATAACACCATGTTCTTCTTAGACGTTGATTCTTTATTCGCAAGTACACGTCTGTTACAGGCGGTTCACACTTTATGTGACTGTATCTCTAACAAGAATTTTCTATTACCTGTATCTATATCTCATTCAAAACAGTTACTGACTTCATGTACTAACAATGTTAAGTTTACATATGACGCGAGCATTTTTGCTAGATGGATGGTGTTGCTATAGGAAGCTCCCTAGGTTCATTGTTTTACATGTCGCACGTTGAGAACCTAGTGGACGACGTAATTGGAAAAGTTCATTTTTATAAGAAATACGTGGATGACATAATAGTCATCTGTGATTAACCGACAGATTCAATAGAAATCCTTAAACAGATCAATACAGCACAAGACAGCATGTCGTTAACATGTGTAAAAGATTGCTTACCATTTTTACATGTACTGATAACCCACCGACAAGATGGGTCAATAAAACGATCTATCTCATAAAGTCGACATGGACTGTACATTATCCTAATTAACATAGTATCTATCCACTATAGTATAAAAAGGTGTTCGTTAACTGCTTGTTTAGATACATTCACCATATATGTACAGCCAACACCATTGGAGAAACACAACACCTCACCGAAATATTCTTAGATAACAATCATCCGTTAATATTCATTGTGTTACAGAATTGTCAAACAAAGACCTCTACTGATCCAGTCAGTTTCCTCCCAAATAGGATGTTTACATATTCTTGCCGTGCACGGATGATCAAAACAGTCTGATCACTAAACAAAGAGTGAAGGCGGCAATTAATAAAACCTACTATCAGCTAAACTTATCTTCATAGAGAAAACCAGATCTATGCTGTCCTGTAAACCCCCGCACGATACTATCACATACCATTGTGCATACCAATTTACACGTTGTGTCAACACATGTTCACATAGAGGACCCATCGGTCTTTGAAGGTTAGGACTACGGAACATATTCCAAAGTGGTGGTTACAACAATAAGTAAGATCATCAGATACAACTGATCCCGGAGATGCATTTCCAGCATCATCTATAGCGAAGCATATAATAGAGACTTGTCACACGGTTGATTACACCAGTGCCTTTAAATCCATAAATAAAACAAAGTTGGGTCACATACTTGAATTCGTTGAAGCCTTAGTCATTGAAAAGGCTTAAACCTGTCTTACGTGTCCGAAAATTATTTATTAATTTGAACCTGCCTAGTTAATCTAATTTCGAACCACGGTTCAATTTATACGTTTCCAGATCGTAGATGTTACGAATATCCTAGAATAATTTGAGCGCCGAATCAATCAGATTGAATCATGGTAAATTATTTCAAATAACCCCAAAAAGTTTTGATTGTTTCTTAAACACGTTGGGATTACTTTGAAATAATTTATAACGGCTCAATTTACTTATGAGTATTTCCACCCTCTTCCTTCTTTTTCTTACCCCACACCTTTACGTCATCTTCCTACCCCATATTTGTCACCTTTACTTGTACAAAATTTGGCTTTTAATAATTCATGCTCTCTTGACTTCTATATAAATGTGTATGACAAGTACGTGTATGATCAGAATGACCGAAATGTACTACGTCTTCTTATTTTGTCGAAATTCATTAAGGGAACTAATTGCTTTAAATACAAAAATGTCAAATTAAGCAGTGAGACCAGTTCCAGTAAGATTTTTAAAAAGAAACTATTTCTGAAGTCCCACCTATGTTAATAAATTCACAAAACATAAGATGTTAACTTTCAGATTAGCAAAACGATCCTGAGAAACAACGAAAATCTTACCGTCGGGAAGAGAGTAATATTGAGTACCAGGTGAGTCTGCCTCATCATTTGGAGCGTCATTATCAGGTTTGTTTTCCTTGAAACAATAAATTGAAACGACAACAATGAATTTTATGCGAGGTATCCAGTTACAAATATCATATTTGTTTTTAAATGGATACTTACAACCTACCTTATCATTTACCTGTTTCCAGGGGTTGTTACACGTCAACATCAAATGAAAAATCATAAGTAGTCAACGAACAAGAATCCTTAGGTTCGCTTTTCTACTGCCTATTAGAAATGCCTACAAATTCTTTCAATGAGTGCTCTCACATTTCGGAAGTCTTAATTAACACTTTCTTTTGCATCTAAATGAAGTAGTGACTGTATGAAACTAGTAAAAGTTTGAGAGAAAAAAGAAAGTATAAATTAAATGTCAGACCACATTGTTATGAAGTGCGATTTATTTATTCTCATGGTGCTATAACAACAATACATACGGTATATGACGCTAATTGTATTTATTTAAAAATTCCTTTCGTCTAACAACTGATCATGTGGTTTCTTTCAACTCTCTGGAATATTCATAAAATCTTTAATGAACAAACGTATGCTCCTTCTAGCTCTGGTTAATTATTTATCTGCGTTTAAATTTAGTAGTGTAAATAAACATTCTCAATTTTACTTTTTTATATTTATAAAGTCTGTTTTCGTAAACAATTAATAAAAAATCCTGTTAAATTAATTGATTGAGAATAATAACTCTGCTCCACTGGTCATCATTTCTGCTATGCGATAATGGCAACAAATCTCACCTGAGGAAGTGCTTTTGTATGGTCAACATCAGGTGTAACTGATAACATTTCATTCCAATTACACAAACCAGACACATCTGTAAGGCGAAAAAATAATAATGTTTGCTATGAAAAAGGATATGTACTTAGTATATGAATTGTTTAGATGATGAAATCACTTAAATGCGGTTAGATTAATTCATATTTGTTTACATTAAAAAACATGTGAAGTTGCTTGTTTGATAATAGCACAGTAGTTGGGTCCAATAAATAAGCATGTTCCGTCAGTTGCATATACATGCAATCGACAGAATCATAACATCCTTCATTGAGACTCAAACTTAGCACCCACCATTTCAAACGTAAGAGCAATATTAAGTAGTCTACTAATCAGATGAATCTTGGAGTCCACTACTAGATACCATTCAAAGAAATAATTACATTCAAAGTCATAGTAATATTGAGACATGTACTAGAATGAGCTAAAACAACACGGTTCAGATGGTCAACAGGGAATCATCAGGCATAACAGTCGCATAACAGATTTTATGTTTATATATTACACTGATTTGATGAAAGATGAAAAATTATAAGCAGTTAGCTAAATATCATATGATTTTTAAAATTATATTTCTACTCAGAATTGTACAGAATTGTACATCTAACTTGTTACAAATAGTTATTGCACACATCACAGCATTGCATTAAGTATGAGGGAGACGGCTTCAAAGTACACTCTTTTCAAGATGTTAGCTTCACTCTAGTTTGATATGACGAAAAAATGCGATCAAATTATTGAAGGAAGGCATTCCAATGTTAATACAATGCTGTTAATACACATGTCTACACAACAAAAAGTTCGTGTGATGAGTTTTCCACTTTAACAACTATTCAAAAGGAAAACTTCATGAAAAAAGAAAACATTTCAATTCTCCATATTTTCCAGGGGAACAAATGTAATGAGAATATAACGAAATTATACAAGATAAAGTGAAAACTATTGCAAACGCTGTACATTTCGATGATAAAGAACGAAAATATCTGTACTGTTGGGAACAATTGTGATACAAATAGACACAAAGTCTCTCTAAATGCTTTAAAATTTATGAACTAGAATAAATTAAGGTTTTCCCAACAAATTTGGCGTTTAAAAAACCAAATACAGACGTTCGCCTCATAACCTAAAGAAATAATACATATTTTAACAGGAATGTGGAAAACAGCTCGGGAGTGAAACAGAACTCGGTGAGTACAAATGGTGACAACCGATTCACCATCTCATTTTAAATAATGACTAAAATGACACCGATGGTATAAACAGGAGACGAGCCTATGGTAAGCAGCCTTTCATATCTCAACAGAAGTTATCGTAACCCAAAGTAATTTTCAATACGCCTTTAACAGCACAAGACACGGAAGCTAAAGATATGTATGTGTACATTAAGTTTATCAAACAAAAATACAATTGGTTATAGTTATTTAAACTAAACAGGTGAAGATTGGTAATTGGAGTTACGTAATACAAAATCAGTCAAGAAAATTAGGTGTTAGTGAAATTAGGGTAGTAACAAAGGTGGGTGATGAGTCTTCACAAACAGTTGTTAAAAGAAGTTATGAATAATAATATGAATAGTTTGATGAGTGAGTTTTACTCAGGATGCACATAGGAACAAAGTAGATAATACGAAATTGCGTAACAGTTCTAAATGAATACAAGAATTATAAGCAAGCAATTAAAGAACAGGCAAAGAAACAAAATTAAGTCATCAAAATCAAAAAAATCAAATCAAATCAAAAAAGTTGTTACCTTCTTTGTATCGCTGAAGCTCTGGCCATTCACATAGAAAAACCGGAGCTGTGCATACAAAAGAGGATTACTCAACCACTTCTACTGTCTTGGTAACAACTTTTTTGATTTGATTTTGTTGATTTTGATGACTTAATTTTGTTTCTTTGCCTGTTCTTTAATTGCTTGCTTATAATTCTTGTATTCATTTAGAACTGTTACGCAATTTCGTATTATCTACTTTGTTCCTATGTGCATCCTGAGTAAAACTCACTCATCAAACTATTCATATTATTACATAACTTCTTTTAACAACTGTTTGTGAAGACTCATCACCCACCTTTGTTACTACCCTAATTTCACTAACACCTAATTTTCTTGACTGATTTTGTATTACGTAACTCCAATTACCAATCTTCACCTGTAGTTTAGTTTAAATAACTATAACCAATTGTATTTTTGTTTGATAAACTTAATGTACACATACATACATACACATGTATATTTGCGATTGTACAGCTAAGAAAATGAATTCGCCGAAAAGACACTCTTCGCTGATCTACGTGTTTTGTTCTTATTAATTAATTAATTCACTGATAAATTTCAATAGTAGAAAAAACAATTTACAACTATGTAGGAAGACAAATAGTAAACTATGGGACAAAGAAGGTGGTAAAACGAAACATTTAAGCTTACATGAAAGGTGTTTTGATGTTGTAGGAGAAGATAACGGAATCACATTAACACACTGTCAACGCTTTACTTGATAAAGTAGACTCGAAAATTTCAATCTACGACTTTAAGGTTAAAAGCAAGCCGAAATGATGATTTCAATACAACAAAAGAGATAAAATTTCAGGCTTACAATGACATCTTATTTCAAGGATTTTCATCAGTCACAGACTACCTGAAATTACAGGGATTGTAAACAGGTGAAAACAATGTTGGAGTGATCAGAAGAGAAAATGTAATAAACTAGGGCATTCAAAAGGTGACAAAACGTTACAATTTACAGTTCAAGTTATCATCAGCTTATATGCACTCCAAAGTAGTAAGCGGTGATCTTAGAGTTCACTGTTCTATTAAATGTGATGAAACAGTCAAGGAGTAGAATACTAAACTAATGAAGATATAAAATGATATGAGTCAACTAACTTATGTAGCTTAGTAAAAATCAAACATACGCCATTAAAAGATTACTCACCAAAACTATCGTTAAATAAATCATCAAAAAATGTCAAATCATCCGGATTAATCGGGGAGGATTTATCTTCACATGGAATATTCTGCTTAGGAAAATAAAAAGGGAAATACGAATAAATTTGGTAAATCAATCGGAAAGTAGACTGGAATAGTCACTTTTTAAATCTACGTAATAATTCCACATAAACTACAATGCAAAGTTTTTTTAAAGATATTTCAATAAACCAACTGTGACAATGTATCATTTGTAAATATTCAGCTTAATAAACTCTAGTGCTATGCGTTGGACTCGCTGTAGATGATGAGGATGAATCTCGAAATAAGGCGAAACAGCTGTCCAATTCTTCTTTGGTTGATTTTCGTCTAATAATAGATTTCTTTTTGGAACATGTGAGTGAATATGCGAACAGCACTTAAGACTAAATTGTAATACGAATAAGTTTTCACATTCTATAAATGTTAAACTCTATAATAACAAAGAATACTGTAGGAAGTTTCGGTAAAAAATGCTAGGTATGGTGAATCGGTAGAAGCAGGAATTCATGGCCTACTGGGTTCCCTTCTAGGGGCTGAATGATGAACGAAGTCGACTTGTAATCTAGGTTGCGGCTGCATAATGAAGAACTCCAAACCAGGATGAAACGGTAGCCCACCCAGTGCTACCCTGTCACATTATTACACGTTTGGCATATTTTCTCGAAAATTACTCTGATCGCTACTATAAATGAAACTACCTGAAAAGATGATGCAGTCAGCAGTTCTAAATAATCGTTATTATTCGACCTACCAGACTAACATCTTTATTCACCCTGTATACGCACGAGTAATATTTAATAATCAGTTTATCGTTACTAAACTACCAATGGTTAGGACTCTCGCCGACCATGCACATGGTCCGGGGTTCGATCCCCTGCCGGCGCACACCCGATATCTATGGTCGGCCTGAATTTGGGCTACCGATATCCATGCTGAAAATTCCATACTTGTACCGAAAATACGGTGTGGAATCAAGCTGTAAATCAAAATAAATAAAAAAATAAATAAATTAATCCTCATATAAGCAAAAGTTTCGATGAATTTCACGGGGGTACTTGTCGACAGTAGTAACCGAAGCTAGCTTTATTTTCACGAAAAATGATATATTTCACAACGCCACAGGATTCTATCTCAGCTGTTAAAATCTAAGTTTAACGTAACTGACTGATGCAACTTTAATTATAATTTTTTGATCAGAGCTTGATTGCACACAGTACTTTTGGTAGAAGTATGGAATTTTCACCAAGCCAGAGCTGGCGTCAACTGGCATATGAGGGACGAGCCTTCTCTTTCCGCCATGCTGAGATTTCATCAGCGAACAACCCACTGGCACTGGTTGATGTAACTTCCCGAATAAGTCAAGTTGTCAACGTGTTCTACCACTTCACTCTCTATTTCTAAGCTGCGAGTCAATGTAATCCAGACTAGTCCAGTCCTGTAGCGTCATCTTTTATTTGACAGCACGAGCGAATCGCATGCCAATCATTCGAAAATAGCTGCCTGTCAATGTCTTCAGAAGATTCTGTATTTCGTCAGCGTTTTCAGCCAGGTCGGAGGACAACACCATATGCATATTCTAAATCAACGAAATTATTCCCTGATGGTAACAAGTCAATTTCTGAGTCTCTGAAGTCACTTAGGGTTAATTCCATTAGTACATCTATGATGAAATTAATCAGAAGTGGGGACAGTGGGCATGCCTAAGGGACACCACTAGCTGTCATTGTTACAGATGACAATTTCTAATTTGTGATAAGTGAGTACGTGCCAACATTACATACCACAGTGATGACTTTAACCGGTACATCACGATGATAAGAACTTAGTGACTGAAATTCCTTTATTGAAGCCAATGAACCTTCACCATATATATATATATATATATATATATACTCAGAAGTTTCTTAACAGGTCCTAAGCTTGGAAAAGAGATGAAAGGCTAGGTGTAAGGCTAGTGACCCTAACCCGGAAAATCAATTCAATCTCTACAGAAAATTCAAACGAAAAACAATCCAATTCTCCACTGGAATCAGAGAGACGGAGTGGTGCGGACTGGTGAATGACTTCAGAAAGCCATAAATGTAAACCAATGTGTCTTCTTTAGATGAAAGTAAAAATATGCATTGGGACACGGAATATCTGCATGATGTTCGAAGCTGGGAAGACTATCCAGGTTGCCGACGCAATGAAGGGATATGGAATGGAAATGATAAAGGTCTGTAAGAACAGGTGGGATGGATGTGGACTGTCCAAATTGTTAACTGGAGGGTGAAATTTCTAGTCCGGTAACCCAAACGACAACCACAAGAACGCTGAACGAGCGGCTATCATTGTGTCACCAACAGCGACCAGAGCTCTTATGCAGTGGGAACCAGTCCCCTCCTGCAGGACAATATTCAACTCAATAGGAACGGAGGTTATAATTATCTGATGCCGCGTGCCAGTCAGCCATAGATACAGCTGTAAAAGCTGTGAATAAGGTAAATCCAAAGGTGAGTAAGAACCATTGGATTTCGACTGCCTCATCCGAACTGATAGATGCTAGAAGACTTATTCTGGCGAGCTCCGAATTCAATGAGGAGCGAAAGCTGCACAAAAGGAAACTTACGAAAAATCTCCGCAAGGACCGTGAACAGTGGTGGTTGACAAAGGCGAAAGAGGTGGAAAAAGCATCGGCGATAGGCAACACTAGGCAACTCTTTAGACTCATCAGGGAAACGGGTGGGAGAAGGCAAATCATAAGTGAGACTATTTCTGAGAAAAATGGCTCCTTAATTAGCTCTCAGAATAGACGCCTTGAACGCTGGAAAGAACACTTTGAGGAACAATTTAACTTGCCTACAGCCACACTGAGCCTCCCCGCCATCCAGCACACACCCCAATGGGATATAGACACTGGCCCACCGTCTGTAAGTGAGGTCACAAAAGCTATCTTTAACTTGAAACGAGGCAAAGCGGCAGGACCCAACGAAATTGTTCCGGAGGTGTTTAAATATGGGGGTGACATACTAGTATATAGTTTAACTAAGGTACTAGGTAACTTCTGGGAATCAGAGACGGTTCCATCAGACTGGGGTAAGTCACTTATTATACCAATATTCAAGAAGGGAGACAAGTCCTCATGTGATAATCATAGAGGAATCAGCCTAACGAACATAGTCTCTAAAATCCTAGACTCAGTAATCATGCACAGACTAAGCCAAACTCGAGAGGAACAAACGAGGGAAAATCAAACTGGCTTTAGGTCAGGTAGAGGGTGCACAGATCATATCTTCACTCTCCGACAGATCCTAGAACATAGACACACTTTTCGGCGTCCAACAATTGCCATATTTTTTGACTTGAAGGCGGCCTTCGACTCCGTGGATCGAAAGGTACTATGGCAATGTTTGACTATGAAGGGAGTGCCAAGAAAGTACATTCCACTAATCAAGGCACTCTACTCAAACTCACGTAGCTGTGTAAGGGCTTATGGGGAATTGTCATCTGAATTGACAACAACCAGTGGTGTCCGTCAAGGATGTCCACTTTCCCAATTCCTGTTTAACTTCATCATAGATATGCTAATGGAAGTATCCTTAACTGAACTTAACGACTTACGAATCGACTTGTTACCAGGGAATAGCCTAGCCTTATGGACTTAGAATATGCAGATGACATAGTCCTGTTAGGAGAGGACGCTGACAAAATACAGCAGAGTCTTCTGAACACCTTGAGCAGCAATCTTCGTATGTTTGGCATGCGATTCGCCCCTGTAAAATGTAAGATCCTGCTACAGGAATGACTGGACTACGTCAACTCCTAGCTTAGTAGTGATAGGGAGTGAAGTGATAGAACATGTTGACCACTTCACCTATTTGGGAAGTTGTATCAGCACCAACGAATTGATTGATTGGTGACGAAATCTCAGCACGGATCCAAAAACCTCGGGCTGCTTTCGCTAACTTACACCGTCTCTGGCGTAGGCGTGACATCCGGCTATCAACCAAGGGACGTGTGTACTGTTCAGCAGTTCGCTCCGTCCTTCTCTATGGCTGGCTCTGAAACATGGCCAATACGAGTTGAAGACATGAAAAGGTTGTCTGTTTTTCATCATAGATGTCTACGATCTCTTTCTCACGTTAGGTGGTATAATAAAGTAAGTAATGTTGACGTTAGGCGTAGAGTGTTGGGCAAAGAGGGAAAATCAATCGACGAGGCTATAAAGTTACATAGATTCAGATGGCTAGGTCACGTGCTGCGCATGCCTAACCATCGCCTCCCCCGACGGATGGGCATTACTAGCTGATATAGGTGCAAGAAATCCTCAGGATGGTCGGGGGTGGGTGCCTTGCGCTGCGGGTTGGCCACCCCTCCGCACACCTCTTGAAATGCTCCCATATGACCGGGCGTCTTACATAGCCTCTCCTGAGGAAGTCCTACTCACTGCCTTCACGTGGCAGAGGTGTTTTTCACCAAAGTGAGAGGGCGAAAGCGGATGTCCGGCGCTCTTCACCGGGTTGACTGTCCATTGGATGACAGTCTAGGGGAGATGGCTAAACCCTGATTCCAAACCTCCAACGACTGGCGTATAAAGCTCACTGGAGCTCACCGGCAGACGTATGGACAAAGGGCTTGTTGGATGTCCTGGATGTCTGGCCCCATTCAAAAGGCGTATGAACCGAACTCCGGTCACCGGCTACCAATGGATAGTGAACTCCCTACTCCCCTCCTACTGCCTTGTAGGTCACACTTGGTTGTGTAAAGGCTAGAGCTACACTCTCAAACAAAAGGCCGAGCGATTCTGGGGACATCACTCGTACTAAATTCCCATGAAATCTCTTGCATCAGATCGCCGCGCCTGGGCAGTGATGATTCGAGATGTTCATGAAGCCGGCTCATCCTCCCGTAGGAGATAGCCGAAGTAAACAATAAACAACAACAAAGTTGGAAAAGAGTAAGCGGTGGCCAAACAAAAACATGGCATCAATCCATGAAATCCTTGACAGTTACACTGAGTCAGGTAGGGAGATGAAGACTTCCGGGTTGGGGCCCGCCCTCGGGACTCTAAGAATCAATGGCTGGAGACAATAGGTGACATGGCTCAAAATCGTTGTCAATGGCTTACGCAGATGTATTCAGTCTCTGTAATCTTTCACATTCCTTTCCACCATTACTCATTCTGTTTCACCCTTATACTTGTCAAAACTCTATTGATTCTCTTCACTCATTTTCCTGTCTACCTACCTTTGTGTGCTATTTGGAACGTGGCAACTCGAACTGCTGCACTTCGGTGCCAAGTTCTATGTTGAATCCAGCCAGCCAATGCTGCGTGCCTACAAGCAACGCAGATCCAGTGGAGAAGATGGAAGAAACTAAGATAGACTTTGTTTCAATCTTAAGAAAATGGACGCAGTTTGCTAGGAACAAGAGAATGGAAAAGAAGAGCAGATATAAGCTCAGACCATGCAAGCAACTGTCAGCAAGAACATGGGACCCTTCTAAGAAGCTGCAGATACATCACAATTCAAAATCAACAACATGAAATTGAAGATAAGAACCATAAAGGTCGCCTTAACTGCTTTCTCCACAGGGAAGTCATAGATATTACGTATCATCAACGAGGAACCCTGTGTGGAAGAACACTGGAACTCTCCCAAAGTGATATTGAAGGAAATCTGTATAGCTGCCTAATGAAGGAAGAAGTGGCAAGAAAACGAATGGCTCTCTATGGGCACACACAAGTTAACATTAAGAGAGGGATGTTGAAACAGACGCTAAACCAGAGCAAAAGTGGAAAACGAAGGAACAACACAATGAATAAAGAATTCTCACACACAACTAAAAAGCTTCCACATATTTCCTGGTTATATGTGAATGTTACAATCAAAACAATGAGGCAAAACTGACCTCTTTGTTATCGGCTTCTGGTATATGTTCGCCAAGATAATTCATCGGTTTTTCAACGGCGAATACCCCAGGCAAACTGGCTACAGTAACGGGAGGATTTTGTACTTCCTGTACAACAGTCGAGGGTTGCGCTGCATCTGAGGAATTTCCACTAGAACACGGTTCAGAAGGATCACTAAAAGCAATGAAATTGGAAATAAGGACAACTTCTTTATAACAAATTAAAACATCAACGATCTACCTGCTTATTAAAAACTCAGTTTCCATTATATTCATATCCTCCAGCAGTAGGAATCCTCCGACAAACATTATGATGATGATAACTGCTTTTAGTCTAATCGCTACTCAAACGACCTATGTAGTACAGCAGGACCAGCAGAGAGATTAGCTCCAGTCAGTGCAGCTCATCTCATCATTGCGTCATGCAAGTCTACCACTCACTTGATGGTTTCCTTACAGTGTCGCCAATCCATCTCCATTTCTTCTTGCATATTTGCTGAGCATTCAGTTCCTGCTTGATTCGTCCCCAGAGATCCATGTTGCTGATCTTCTATGGATGGCATGGCCTTCTGATCTTGAGCGAAGACAGCTGTTCATGAAGGTCTGTAGTTTCTTCGAAGTGCCCGTCGTGATGCGGCGCCAAATCTCTGATCCGTAGAAGAGCACTGACTTCACATTGGAGTTGAGAATCCCTACCTTATTTTTCATGCTAAGTGCTGTTCATCTCCACACAGACATCAGAGTGTAACAACAGAAGGCAAGGGTCAGGCAACAGATCATTTATTAAGGAAATCAACGCATATTTATATATTTTCATGTACATTACTATGGATATTTAAGCAAACAAACACAGTCTTGGTTGGTTGTTTCTCACGTAAAGTTAATCTTTCATCTCTTTGTGACTGTTTCTTGAATGTCAAATCCTCTATATGTTAACTGCATCCGCCTACGCAAAGTCTGCTGTGGTCGGTTTTGAATCAATCTTTGTTCACATTTTCTCACGACAAATCTTGGGAACGTAAATATTGACGTAAATTACTGTCTACCAATTTGGCTTGTGAGTATTGAACTTGGCTTGTGATCTAACTGCACCTCATGTTTCTTTGAAAGTTTCTAATGTGATTTGGAGTGTTCCTTGTACGAGATAGTGATCAAAGGCAACGTCTTCTTACTTTCGTGTTCAGTAAGCTGCGTCTCTACTTAATTGACATAGTTTGGGCAATTGAAATTATTTTGCCTAGGGGTTGGATGCATTGAGATGTACCGCTGTATTAATCGTCTCCTGACTACTGGTTTAAAATTAGGGAGTGGAGCAGCGGAGAATGTTGACCACTTTACTTATTCAGGAAGCCGCATCAACCACAAGAGACTGGTTGCTGAGAGAGTCTCACCGCGGATTCAAAAGGCTTTTGTGGCATGTGCCGACTTACAGCATATATGACGTAGACGTGAGATCCGGCTGTTCACCAAAGGACCTGTGAACTGCGCAGGATTTGGCCCAGTCCTCCTCTATAGGTTGTGAAGCATGACCATTGGAAATAGAAGGTATGAAAAGCCTAGATTTCTTTAACCACAGATGTTTACGTTCTATCTCCAGCGTTGAGTAATATTATGTGGTGAATAATATCGACGTTAGGCGTAGAGTTTTGAAACTATATAATGAAAGTTTCGAAGTTGTGTAGTTATAAGTGATACGATTATGAATGATAGTGTTCAAAACGTTATCCAGCAAATACTACTGTTTCACTGTGTGATGCATCTGATAAACAAATTAATATGGAGTAACATAATACCACAGTGCCCAAGTCCAAGACATAGGATCAGGTTGGAAAAGACCTACTGAGGGTCAAATCGAAACTTGGCATCAGTCCATGAAATCCTTGAGTTAGTTCAAGCCACGTAGGAAGGTGTAGGTTTCCTGTTTGGGTCCTCAGAATGATAAGAATTACTGGCTGGAAACTATTGCTTAAAATCGTTCTCAATGGTGCGGATGTATTCACTCTTTGTGATCTCCCATATTTACTAAACACTACTGCTTTTCTCTTGCTATTCTTTCTTCCTCACATTTCTGTGTATTATCGTTCCTTTGAATCTCTTTTTTCTCTGTTCCGTCTTACTTTTTGTGCTACATAGAGTGGAGCAGCTTGAGCTGTTGCACTTTTGTGCAAAGTTCCATGTTAAAACTAATCAGTCATACTGTTGTTGATAACAACTAGTACCGAATGTACACACAACAGCTTTCAGGATATCTAGTTGTTTGAAGACTTGCTCAAAATATACAGTCAGATAAAACTGGAAGACTTACAGTGACATTATGCACTGCCAGTATTCTCATCTACCTCCTTAAGAGCAAATTCTAACAATTACAATCGTAAACATTTTGTCTTGTAGTTGAAATGATGCGCTTTGCAATGTCATTAGCAAATCAATATTCACACCTGAAGTAGGTTTATTTATTTTTGCTTATTAATTTGTTCTCATCATCACGTAAACAAATGGTTAGTGAAAATCACACCAATCATTATAAAGAATAAAGTTAAACAACAAAAACCTATATCATACCATTTAGATTTTTTAGAATGGGATATCTTCCGAGAGCGAGTTTTCATAATCAATGATCTAGGTAGAAGATTGACTGTTACAGAAAACAAAAAGTTACTTCGGACGAGTTTGGTCTTCTTTGCTGTCATTGATAGCCTTTGTTCTGAAAGTGAGTAAATGAATTTGTGAAAATCAGTTCGATTACACAACGGGAAAGCTGAGCACTGATATTACACCTTAATGGCATTTAAAACAGATAATAGTAGTATGCTGACAATATCGAATTGCTAGGCGCTACACAAAACTGGTTATGTTAGATGGAGTAACTAAACCAGACTGACTACTTCACAAGAAACATTTCACTAAAAGAAAAAGCACTGACACCGATAAATGTTACAAGGGTATGAAAAGAAAGGGGATAGCAGATCGGAATAGTCAGTCAATACAAAATTACATCTACCAGGAATAATCTAAAAGCATTGGAGCTGGTGAATGCCAGTCCCCGTCATGCACAAACACATCGTCAGACCTCAGAACTGTTAAAAGCAAAGCCTAATCCAGCGCAAATAATCCTACAGATAACATGATAAATAGGAACAAATGCGTCTGTCTTCTGCTTACAGATGCCCTAAGTAAAGCATTGTGCATCCAGCTTTTTATACTGAGAAAGACGATGCATGGCACGTATCACACTATACCATTATACATCCACATCACTATTCTACAAACTAAAAAGCATGCATACAGTCCTACATACGCATATTTTTTCAACGACAGTAATGCTACACACAAGAACGTTGAGATTTCAAAGCGTTGCCCGTACATACATGTTATTCTAAATGTGGAGTAAAAAATTAATGAAACTTAGCAGGCAGATTCCACTACATGTTATGTTTGAAAACAGATGCAAATAAGGTTGGTCTGTTTGGCATGATCCAACTTATCCAATCTGTTGTGCTTGTATGATATGCAGCTATCCCTAAAACAATGGGTTTACTATGCTGTCTTACTTTACCGAAGTGAGAGCTGTTGAGAGCAGAAAATATGAAAACGGTAGCGATTCTTTTTATCATAGGTGCAACCGTTTAGTCTTCAGTGCTTGGTGGAGCAATATGTTCACCAATAGTGAGTGTTAGACAGCGAGAGGCAGAGCGCTTAGGTGGACGTTTATTACTCAGAATAAGATGCCACTTTCCTGGATGGTTAGACTGAAATACAACTACACAGTGAAAAAGAATTAAAGGCAGTTACACTAAAACAATACGAATTCATTAAATCTTTAACTGTTGCTTTGAACCCTGTGGGACAGGTTTGTAAACTCAAACCAGGGTTTCCGGTATGTTAAGAATCAATTGTATGGGGCTATGGGTGACATGATTCAAAAGCCTTCGAAATCGTGCAAATGTAGTTACTTCTTATCATAATCACGATTCTGAAAATCTCCTAAAATTTCCATCTAATTACGTCCTCCCCGTTTAATTCAGCCTCACTAAGTTTCCTTCCCTTACTCTTATGTGCTTTCTGAAGTGCGGTGAATCCAAATAATGTTCGTTTATCTCAAGTTCTACGCTGATAAGTTAGGTAATCTTGATGAGATCTCAACTGTCGTCAAAAGAGTACCTAAAAACGTACAATGAGATGTTGTTTAGCAATCATATGCAGTTCTAAGGATGTGGTATTGAACCGAAATTACCGTTTGAGGGCTACCGTGAAATCACTTCGTTAGTGGACCTTTGATAAGTGGAGGAGTTTCAACCACAACTCGCTAATCTAGATGAGTCACAACATCACAAAATGGATACTAATTTAACCGAAGTGAAGTTTGACTTCAGGATTTTCAAATATGGTTGGCTTTCATACCTTTAAAATATACAGTACGTATGAAGATCATAATCATGGACAGAAGTCTGTGATTTGTTCATGTTAGGAAGGAGTGCTTAGTATTTTTTGTTGTTGCTGATGTCTGTGCTGACTAGAATGAGCTTTCAATCACGATAGTGTAGCCAACTGACCACTTGTGATTTTTCTCCCACACTGAGGTACACAGAGAAGTCAAGTTTAACTGAGACTTCATTTATTCACAATACAGAGTGAAAAAATATTGTTCTCACATCCACGGAAATTTAGACCATAGATAAATTAACCAATATATGATTGGTTGTATCAATCATGACTTAACGGCAAAAAGCAATATGTTGTCCGCCCTAACAGTTCACATCTCAAATGCATTTAAGTCGTTCGTTATCTATCAAACCGTTGTATACCACTATATTCAATCATGAAAACGGAAGACAATTCAGGGAAGACTATTGCAATTTTCAAGTATATTGCAAAAGCGACTGCAAAGCCTTTGAAAATAACTTTAACAACAAAGGAAATTTTCTTCGCTGAATTGTCTTTTAGTCTCTTCGTGAATAAATAGGTATTCTCGATATTTTTATCATTATTTCCTTTAATTCCTAGAGGAACATAGGGCTTCAGCCGCGCGTCTCCATTGCGTTCGGTTTTCTGCTAGAGTTTTCACCTGGCTTCAAGTCTGCCCACACGTTTTCATCTCCTCTTCACATGACATCCTCCATGTAACCCTCGCACTGACGACCAATTCACCACTTCCCCTTCGGGTTCCACTCGAGCGATGGCCTGGAGTGTGATGTCACTCACTTCATGGTTTCCTCAGTATAGCCAATCCATCTCCATTTCTTCCTGCATATATGTTGAGCATTCAGTTCCTGCTTGATTCGTCCCCAGAGATCCCTGTTGCTGATCTTCTATGGATGGCATGACCATCTGATCTTGAGCAGAGACAACTGCTCATGAAGGTCTGTAGTTTCTTCAAAGTGCCCGTCCAAGCTCTGTTCAATCATCATACGTAGTGTTGCGATTTGATCGATGCATGACTTGTTTCTTCTGAATCCAGTCTGTTCCCGTCAACTGTTTTCATCCACGGCTTGCTTGATTCTCTCCAGCATGATTCGGCTTAGTATTATGCATAATGCCACGCCAGTTCTTCCATTGACTATAGTTTCCTTTCTTCGGCAGTTCCAATAGGTAGCCTTTCTTCCAATCCGCAGCTACCTTGCCCTCTTTCCACTTCGTCTTCAGTAGTGGTGTTACCAAGTTCGCTGACGTCTCTCAGGCTATTTTCAATACTTCTGTGGGGATCGCGTCTGTTCCCGCAGCTTTTGTAGATTATAGCATCTTGATGGCCTTCAGGAGTTCTGTTTCCGTCGGGGCGTTGATGTTCACTGGTAATTTTGCTTCCATTGTAGGTATTGTTGGGCGCGTTGTATGTGGCGGTCGATCAAGAAGTCTTTTGAAATGTTCAGCCCAGTGTTTCCTCTGCTCCACTTCTTTGGTGATTGAATTTTCATTGTCATCCTTAACTGGCTTTATTTGTGTCGAACTTTTGCCCGATAGGAACCCAGTTGTTTGGTAGAGTGTTGCGAGGTCTCCCTTGCCTGCAGCTTGTTCTGCTTCACTAGCCATGGTTTCATATTTACTTTTGTCTTCCCTGGCACTCTTCTTTACTCTTTTCTTCAGTGTATTGTAGCTTGCATTCAACTCCTGTTTTTGTTTTGTTTTCGATATTTTATGATTCGTGAACGACTTTAGTGTTTCTTGACATTAGCCTCACCTTCGAACTACTGGGCAATATCGAGTTGTATAACGCGAAGTAATAGTACAAAACATCACTACATAATCCCAGACTAGCAATGAGGCAGAAATTTATGATTTAGCTACCTTTATTATTTTTTTATTATAGCTTGAAACCACACAGTATTTTTGGTACAAGTATGGAATTTTCAGCATATAATATCGGTAGCCCAAATCTACAGGCCGACCATAGATATCAGGTGTGCGTCGGCAGCGGATCGAACCCCGGACCATGTGCATGGTGGGTGGGAGTCCTAACCCCTGTGCTACCGACGCACATCACTGGTGCTATTACTTACTATCGCATATTTCCTCTAGCCACGTCTTAGCAACTCAAAAATGAAAAACATAATCGTTGTGGTTTGGAATAAAATAGATGAAGACAAATTACATAGTATACATATATATGGCACTTAGAACACGGAAAATTTTTGTACTGGTATCTTAGCCATAGATTCTAAGTTGCAGCACCCACAGTCTTCAGTTAAGAGAATTATTTGTGAAACATGCAAAAACGAAGACGTTTACTTTTCCGAACGATCTAAGACTAACGGTCAATCGCCTCGGATTTTTAAGCCAGAGAAAATTTGATCACTCATGCTTAGCATTCGAAGAATCTGCGATAGCCAACAACTCAAAAGCACTACTTAAGCAATTCTGATAAAATTCGAAACTCACACTTCTATCATGGAAGAAAACACATTGGAATCAGTGTGAAACTCTTGGATCACTGCGAACGATTGAATAGCGACCACGTACTCTTGCTACAAAGGATAAATAATTTCACTTCCTGGACTAACTTTTTCTTCAAAATAATCAAACGAAAAGCTTAAAAGTCTAATCAAAAAGAAGCAACCATCAGTGGTTCGTATACGACGACTAAGCTTGTACTAGAAGTTAGGAAATTATTGACATACGTGCACCTGGGTAACGGATCACGCTTATAGGAAATAAACTTTGCATTAATCCATGAGCTTCCGTCATATATGCGTACATGCTACAAATATTATTTAGAAAACAACATACCTCATTTGTGGGTACACACAGTACAGCAAAGGGCTCATCCAGATCACAATATGCAGTTTTATCTGGAATTGACCTACACGCCCCAAAAATAAATGGAGTAACTCGAAGTAATTGAAGTCCAAGCCGCTTGTCTCGAATAGACCTAGCCCAATGCGAATTCAACTTCTTTTGTAGTGAAGCACTCATTATTGAACTGCGAAAATGTAACTTCCTCTATTGAAGTTGGAGCAAACCAAACTGGAAAAAATAAAATTAACACTCTCAGTCAAATAATAGCGTGAAAATAGGGACTAATACTGTTCATTAATCTCAATATGATTGGGTATATGATCGTTGCCCACTTCTTTCCAAAAACGTCTCATTGAGCACAACTGTTACGGATGTTTTAATTACTACACTATTGCCGTGCACTGACTTATTTGGCCGATGAAACCAAGCTAGACTAATGTAATCCACCTATATACAGCATCAGCAGATAGTGGTCTAGTAAAATCTGTAAAACTGTGACTAGCGGAAGTGTGGTTCATGGGCTTACGCACCCGGTTTAAATTATGAGTAATACGTTCAAGTCCCGCTTCACCTACTTCACTATGGGCAACTGAGTAGTAGGGTAGGTCCGTTTCGGGTAATTGAGTTCAATCAGAGGTAAAACTGTTGCCTATACATATTCTCACTGAAACTGCATCAAATTACGAGACAAATGACAATCAATACATACACAACCATACTCCAGAGGTTAGACCATTCAGGCAATTATGTAGACCACAATGTGAGACTGAGCCGACAATACTAGTTTTCCGGTATAACTCCACAATGGATAAGATTTTATTTTGATAAATCACACAGTGTTGTACAGTTATATTAAATAATGACGTTTCGAGCACAAACTATTGCTCATAATCATATCAAGTTACTCACACAACTTCTTTACTTCATTTATATACATGTGTGGAATCGATTAGATATTGGAATAAAATTCAATATGAGATAATGTACCTTCAGAAATAATAGTACGAGTGTTATTCATCCATTACAATTAGATGGGAAATACGACGAGTGCTTTTATAGTCATAATAATTTAATTGTTAGAATGTTGTGATGTGTTTGAATTGAAATAGAATTTTAAGATTATTTATTATCCTCTTCTGATTTGACCGGCGGTAATAATATCTTCCACATTTCTGGTATTTGCATTGAGTCAAATCTGTTGCATGTGTTGGGTGTAGACTCGATGAATAAGGATTCCGTAATCAACCTCTCTATCCACCTACCTATATTACTTTTTAGAATTTTAACCCTATCCCACCCTATTGTGTGGTTGTTTGTTAATATAATGTCAGTTAATATAACTGTACAGCACTGTGTGATTTATCAAAATAATACCGAAGGACCAACTGGTGAAGGGATCAACTCCATTCACAGTAGTAACAGTCTTAACACACTTCATACTACAAACCACATATAATTAATCCCTGCACTACTCCTTTTGAAGTCAACCAAAGCTACGGCAGTCGAGTGGCGGGACGAGCTACGCAGACGTTTACCGAAGATCAGGAACCTCTACCTCACAATCAAGAGGCGAGCACAAAGAAATCAAATCGGTTTATACTAGCTCGTAAAAACGATATTGGATATATTGGATATTATGGAGTTATACTCTACCACAGTGCCCAAGTTTTATACTTACATCAATGATACAGTTTTCCGGGTTTTAACATCAATAAGTAGATTCTAGAGACACATACAGACTCCAAAGTAGGACATGCATCAATTAAAAAATGACTTACTCAAGAGAAAAGTGAGCTGAGAAAGAAACCGTACGAAGTCACGCCGCAAAGACTGCTTTCACTGCCGATTACGTAACTCGCACTATGACCTACGAAGATGTACTTCGCATATCGCAACAAACAATACATTCAATATCCAATTCTTTTTGAAGTTGCATGAAACTTGTAATATATCTGTCATATATTCTTGTTGACGCTACTTCTGCGGCTTTTCAAAATGTAACAGTTGATTCAATGGTTTATTTTTCAGGGAACATATAATATGTACCAGAGCCGTTACACTACGGGAACTGGTGAGCTTTATGTAGCCGAACGATCATCCTGTCGAGTCAGAGAGAACGTTATTGAACGGGTTGAGACGAGATCTATGGAGTGAGGACACATAGTGGATGGAAGGTGGTGTAAGCGGACTGTGTTTGCGATAAGCAAGACACTGGAACTATTTTCCAACATAACATAAATGAAAGGAGAAATTGAATGAGACAATCCAATATATCCAATATCCTGATTGCGAGCTAGTATACACCAGTGATTTCTTTGAGCTCGCTTCTTGATTGTAAGGTAGAGGTTCCAGATCTTCGGTGAACTTATGCGCAGTAAATCCCGCCACTCGACTGCTTTAGCTCTGGTAGACTCCAAGAGGAGTGGTGCGAGGATTGGTCCAGATGTGGTTTGTAGTGTGCAGTATGTTAGGACTCAGTTGCTGCCGTGAATGGAGTTTGACCTAACTCCCGTTGGTCATTCGGTGTAGTCATAAAAGTAGAATAGTAATAATAATAGGTTGTAGTGTAGATAATATAGGTTGAGATAAGTGAAATAATAAAGTTGACCAAAGAAAAGATAGAGTAGTCGGTACAGTGAGAGAAGACAGGACGGGTCGTGGGGATTTAGCTTCTATGCTTATCCATTGACAGTGTGGTTTCAAATTTCAAGAGGATAAGCCATTGAGACACAAACCATGCATTTCTGCATTATCGTCCAGCTTCCGCCTAAAAGTCTCCACAGATGGAGCTGTAGTTACGGCCGCCGGTAAAGCGTTCCAGAGACGGCAAACTCGAAGTGAGAAGAAATGTGAACGCACTCAAGTCTTTGGTCTCTGGTGTGTTATCCTTAGCGGGTTACCTCGTGGAAGCCTATAATCACTTAATGGCAGGATGCTTTTATTAGGGTGGGCCTGGTCATTTAAGATCTTATAGACGGTGATGAGGTCTCCCCTGTGACTACAGTAACTAAGTGTGAAAAGACTTAATTTCCTCAGTCTTTCCTCATATGATTCGTTGCGGAGGCCGATCACCAATTTTGTCGCTCGTCTCTGGACACTTTCTAGAATGTTAGCATCCCTTTCGAGTAGCGGAGGAGCAATGATATTATGCACCTCAAGGAGTGGCCTCACGTATGTCGTATACAACCTTAAGAATAGTTCGGGAGTAAGAGCTCCCAGCTGCCTATGCATAAAGTGTAAAGTTGCGTAAGCTTTGGCGACGTCCCTCGTGTAATTTACACTGGTGTCTAGCTTTTCTGTTAAAATAAGACCTAGGTCGCGTTCTGATGGCACACAACTCAAGTTCTGGCCACCAAGGGTGTAATTTGCACTCTGTGACCTGCCGGAATGAAGTTGCACTACTTTGCACTTCTTTAGGTTGGAAGGCATTCCGTTAGCCAGAGCCCAGTCTCCCAGAGTTTGCAGGTCAGCCTGCAATCTGTCGGAGTCTTCCGATGAGTTTATTGCTCTCCAAATCTTTACGTCGTCAGCATAAAGAAGCGCAGAGCAGTTCAGTTGACAGGGCAGGTCGTTGATAAAAATCAAAAACATCAACTGCCCCAAGATAGAACCCTGAGGAACCCCTGATGGTGAGGTGTGCCGGGATGATCGCATGTGGTTGACTTTGGTGCAGAATTCTCTCTCGCCTAAGTAATCTTTCAGCCATGCGAGAAGTGCTCCAGAAACACCCGCCTTGCTTATTCTGTGAAGGAGCAGACCATGGTGAACTGTGTCAAATGCTTTCGCAAGGTCGAGAAAGATCACATGGACTGGTACCTTTACGTCTCAGGATAGTGTCCAATCGTTCCAAACTAGTAGAAGATTCGTCAAACAGGATCTTCCCCTCCTGGAACCGTGCTGTGCTTCATGCAGTAGGTTAGTCCCGTCGAAGTATTTCCTCATGTGGTCGTCAATGAGACTTTCCAATATCTTCGATATCACTGGGAGTAGCGCAACTGGTCCGTAACTGGTCGCGTTCTGCCGGTCATCACCCTTGAAGATAGGAGATAGGATGGCTCGTTTCCATTCACATGGAAGTTTCCCTACATCAAAGGAGTGTTGAAACAGATCACTTAGGGGTTGGCAGAGACTTTCTGAACACTGCTTCAGGACGGATGGTCTTATGTCATCGCAACCTGCAGACTTTCCCGAAGCCAACTTTCCCAATTTTACGAGTACCATAGCCGGGGTAATTTCAGATGTACCCAGCAGGTTTTCGCACGTTCGTCTTGCATTGTAATCTTGATGTTTTGTGGGGGTAAAATCCTCGTTACTGTTCAGTTGCCTGTGAAAGGCTAGACTGAATGTCTCTGCCATTTCAAGATCAGTAAGAGATTTCCCATCAGAACCGACTAGATTGCAAGCTCCCTGGTTGGTCGGTTTTCTTTCAGACATAAACCTGTATAGGCTTTTGGGGTTCACGAGAAGCTTATTGGCGGTACGTCCAACGTTTGCGTTACATTTTTGCGTGATTCGTTACATAAAATTTATCTTGTTGTAATCCTTGCACAAGTACTCTACTACTTCCATACCTATAACTATTAACTCTCATATCAAATAGTTATGGTTAACCAAAGTAAAAGGCAGCGAACTCAATCCCCTGTAAAACTGATGACTAATTTTAAGTCGTTGATTACTACATCAAGCAACACACTTCCTACAAATGGTTAAATTGAGCCACAAAACTCACTTGTATGTCGTAAGCGTCGAGCCGAAACTGAGGATAAAACTATACTGACAGCTAGTTTTAGCACTACTCCCAAAAATTCAGTACCCTCTGCTCATACAGAAACCCTCCCTACACCTTATGTGCTTATCGAAAAGCTCCAGCCTTCAAGCTCTGTTTCAGTACTATCTTCAGAAATAGAACTTCTAAAGTTGTCTATAGGAGTTAAGGGACTTAAAAAACAATAAGTCAGTAGATCCTGGAATTTCTGATACCAATACCAAAATATCCAATTTATCAGATCAGATCAGTGATATCAGATCGCAGGTCTGTGAACTGACACCTTTAACTATTCTCATCAAAACTGTAGACCTTAACAAACTTGACCATGAATCGATATCTAAGGTGGATAACCTAATTAACTTTGTTACTACAGAAGTAACAAAACGACTCGATGCTAAACTAAATGCTA